GCAGGACAAAGTTCTTTCATTGAATTTTGCGTGTCCATTTGATAGCGTCAGTTTCGACAACTCGAACATTGTGCTTATTTTCTAAAAGGATTTTATCACTTTAGAGAAGTAGGGAAAATTAGATCGAGTTTCGCATACACAGGGCTTTTGTTAGGATGCGTGCCTAGCTGTGGAAGGATAGGCGATGTCGACTCTCGTATAGTGTAATTTTTGTTACCAACTTTGAAAAGCATGTAACTCTGGTACTACAAGATCTCCACTGCACGTTCATGTGCTTTTCGTGTTTCCAGCGAATTTTGGACGTGAAGAAGAAATGCGCGCTGCGCGTATGAAACATAATTTTTATTTTGAATGATACAGCGCTTCAAGGCTTTTTCAAAAAACGACCACGTGAAGCATAAAGCTGAAATTTAAGCTTTCTAATGATTACTAACACTCTTATAAAAATCTTGTTTAACAAAAGGAATTGTTCCTTGATCTGTTGCCAAATAATCAATTGATCCATGATCCATCAATTATCATCTAAGGATAATGAAGGAATTCAAAACTTTCGACTCCGGTTGGGTTTGAACCCGTATCTCGCTCATACAGGGGACGCTTATGACCATCACACCAGCAAGACCGCCGTCATCTTTTCTTCAGTGCAGATATTTCTTTTGCGCGACCCGTCATCAAATTTTTCTGTTCAGGTCACATATTTCTAGCACTCGCTTTTTCCTCACATTCATCCTCCACAATGGCCTCCGAACATTTCACGCGCTACTTAGGGTTCTGCTTGAGTATATCGTCCTCTTCGTGATTGAAGTACATGCTGGTCAGCTAAATCTCCTTGCTTTCTCGGAATAACCCGAGCATAGGTGTGCCGTGGGACGTTCGTTGATTGATTGCAAAAGAGTGTTGGGAAGGGTAGTCAATCAACCCCTTGCTTCCCAGTGGCCTGTAACACTGAACACTCAGCTAACGCCATCTATTCCCATCACAGTTGATCATTTAAAGCAAAAAAAAATTGTCGCTTTCAGCAGCTCATGACCCTTTCAAAAGAGTGCCAAAATTGCTCAGTCCTTCAATGGTCCACGAAGTATTTCACACAAATGATAGGGTCGGTGAAAGGAGAGCGACTGGCTCCATGCTTTGCAATTTCCTTCATGTGTAAGGTGGTAGTTCCAGTAATCGATCTTCAAGTAAGACTCTACTGCAGATATATGAATGATTGTTTTGTCACCTGCTCCAAACAAAAGCGTTGTACAGATGTTTTGAGCTGTTGAACAGAGAGTCAAATAACATAAAATTTATCGGAGAGAAAGCGGAAAAAACAGATTTTTTTTTCTCAATGTTCATATCAAGATCTTCAAAAATCATTACATTAAACGACAGCGAGAGATAGGTTATAAAAACATTCTGAATCATTATCGCTTCTTTTTACCCATCACATACAAAAAGGACTGTTGTATGAAGCATCTTTGTAGAGTGTGCAATGATGAATGAAAATTAATAAAACCGGTAGACCATTCTTTGCCCGCAAAAAAGAGCACTTAGCAAACTCAAAGTTGAACCCGATACTTAGCTAGCTAAGCGCTTCTAGAACTCAGAGACAAAAGGCAAGAGATTTTCGAAAGTAGAAGTCATCACTATAGCACAAAAATATAAAAATCCGGATCGTGAGACTCCTGCTACTTGATACTTACATGAGAGTCCTAAAGTACTGTTAATAAAGTTCATGAATCCAAATATGGAGCACAGTGAGGAATGTTTCGCTATCATGGTGGCCTGGCTCTACTTAAACTATTCAGTGGAGCGATAATGTGTGAAACGCCGTTTTTTCGATACGACTAATTTTGGGTTCGAGGTTTTTCTTTTGGGGTATAGCGGGATTTGATTGAGTATGATTGAGGTTAAACTGGTCTTTCTTGCCGCTGAAGAAGGCGAAGTTCGCCGATACGTCAGCTGTTGTAAATAAATTTTATAAGAACAATCTGTGGTTGCTCATCAAGAGAAATAAAGGAAAAATTGTTTACAATGCAATCTATCTATAGCAATCATAGAATGCGATGGTGGTGGAGCTGACCTTCAGTCTCTGAGTATTACAATAATGCCACAGTTCTAAATTTTAGCAAAATTTGAGTGGCCCTGAAGGATTGCTTGCCGCCACTCAACACATTGCCCAACAATACATCCATAAATCATGGTTATTTGGGATTAAAATTCATAGATCTCACAGGTGGTTCATTCAATGCCATGAGTAAAATGTGTACAACAAATTTGATTCTCACCTTGTCGCAATTTTCCCAAGCGTTTCGAATTACTCAAACACCCATCCGGCAGGCCAATGTGTTGACCACTCGAGACATTCTCATCGTTGCCAAGGTGCAACCGTGTGGCCCGTTAACATGAAGAGTGGTAATTTATGCTTAGTGAATTTCAGCACAAAATGCTCTCATACGGACGTTGTCATGTTAACAGTAAGTTAGTGAAACGCCCCTATTGTCGAACCTATTCCTTTCCTTTCTTTCGACTATAAACACTTTACCAATACCAGTGCATATGAAATCTGTTGAGCCATCCATACGTTCTTAAATTTGACAGCATCTATATGGCTCCCAGGATTTTCTATTTCTATCCCAGTCACTATCGCCGTTTCTTTAATTATCGATACTTCAAGTGTCTTCCAAAGTCTCGAGTTTGTGAGCGCGTACATCTTTCCATGTTTATTGCAAGTTATGTTTCATATATTCAACTTCTTGTTTTCTTGTAATTTTAGTTCTTTCACATTTCATTCCTATCCATTTTAGAAGCAACTAAAAATAGTATATGGTATCAATTATAAAAAGGTACCAAAATAAGAAATATTGGTGGAAGTAATAATTATTTATCGACGGGTGCTGAGTGACATGTAAGCTTGCCACCTCAGAGGGGAGTTGAACCCGCATTTCAACTTCCGCTTGGCGCCTGAGGGTTTTGCATGCCACTCACCATCTTAGATGTATGATTATAACATTATGAAATTCGTCCAGCTGCTGTAAATGTTTCTGCACATCATTCTTTATCATTGGATACTTATCACATTGTTGAAAGAGGGTAGATTAAGAACGAAATTCTAGCACTGATAGAAACTCCCAAAGCCGATGTATACGTATTCTGTTAGACTGGCATCGATTGGTTTGATGACAAGTTAGATGACATCAGAAAGAATACATCGTAGCGTGAAACCGATGGACACCAATTGCAACTATAATTATGTGCTACGAGCTTGGATCGGAAAAACTTGCTCGACGAGAACGTTATTGGTTTCGTCGTGGACCCATGGACAACGATTACGACTTGGTCATCGATTGTGTATTCTTCGTAATCAATTGTGTTAATAAGATAAAAAAAATAAATAAGTGGCGCATGTTGCTCAACAATAGGTTTCTTGCTGCTAGCGACAAACGTTATTATATATAGATTTCATGAAAAGACACCGAGCTCCCATACCCACAAACGCACACGCATACGTGCATCATATATATATACAAATACATATATATTGTAAATACGTATATACATGAACATATGCGAAATTTTTATGGGTTGGTGTATTTTAGTGAGACTTTCACTGACGTTGAAGACATTGAGAATGAGGAAATACGAGGAAAACTCGGGATATGTGATGGCTTGGCACTCACTGCAAACCTTTCCGAGGGTTTACGTGTTACCCATTTCACTATCGATGCCCATGTTCTGCCGTTTTTTGACCCCACGTTTCAATAGTATCGGTGTTGCCAGTATTCAATAGTCACGGAACTTTTGTGAGGCGCTCATCAAATAGGCACTGCGTCCAATTATGTGGATGCTGCAGTCCAAACCACGAATCTTAACCTTTATTTACTGCTTGCTCCTTTTTCATAATTAAGTACTATGCGAGATAGAACCACAGGAGTGGTGGGATAGGAGGGAAATTCGAGACCTAAAGCGGCTTCGAACTCTCAAGTACCGTTTCCGAAGCTAAGCGCTTATCATATCTGAGCTGCATTCTAAACAACACAATATAACTTCTCAATCGCTCGACTATTTGAGGAGTTACAATAAATTCTGAGATAGGGTTGGAGCTCGACTGGGAGAGTGACTGAGTGAGAACGCGATTTTTTGGTTTGGTAACACATGAGCCCACTGTATAAGCGATTGCGAAATCGAAGCCACCTCAGGTTCTAAGTCTTGATTATATCTCAGTATTCTTCATGGTTGTATTTCACCTTGTAACCTATTAAGAAAAAAGCTTAGGTAATAAATAATATTCAAACGTTCCACATCTTGTCGGAAATCCTTCTTTGCAACATGCCCATTTTATTCCACCCGCCTCTCAACTCCATCGATCTATCTGCCCGTCCATCGTTGCATACCAACCGTCTAATTAAGGGAGAATAAATGTAGAAACGACATTCACAGGTGAAAATCCTGTGTTTAAGTGTTCAGTTCCGCCTCTTTCAAGAGAAACGTGAATGGACTGCCATTGTTAGCCAAATAGAGTCCTATGACGTGAAATAGAAACTAACAATTTCAGGAAAGGAGCATTTTTCTTGGCCGAAGCGGTTATATGGGAAAAAATGCGGAAAAATTACTGTAAGAAATTGGGCACCCACCTGCATTGGTGGAAAACTCTTTCACATGCGTGCAAAGCATTTTCAATCGCCATCCTTCTGCAATGATAAAGATATTGGTTCGCTAGACGATTCCCCGGTATATGAATAATAACAACCTTTCGTGATACATTTTGTGCTTTTCACTAGATGATTGCCTAGCCATTACAAAGGTAATTATTTGTGTGCAATCATATAACTTGGCACGATTTCTCCGAATAAAGAAAATTTCAATTTATGAATAAGGTGAAAGATTCCGCCCTCTTTTCGTATAAGCAACGCATAGGGTGTCAATTAATAACTAGGTACTTGGATTGTTTTGGTCAAGGAAGTATCTTGATGGTGCCAATCTCCACTTAATAGCGTGGAATGGTGTGGAAAAACATTTGCGTCAGCTGAGATTCGAACCCAGATCTCAGCCTATCCGGGGGCTCGTGCTGAACGGTTGCACCACCGATGCCGTCACTACCGAATCTTCTCTTCACTTATGTCTACTCACTAGAATGATCCCGGCACAAGCGCTCCTAGTTTTGTTCCAATCTTCTTCAACACACCTTTACCACATATGCCATGTCTTCATCGACTTCCACAAGTCTTCTGGCGTAGTGGACACTTATAAAGCCGACAACACATGTATTTACTTCACAATTACTTCGGTTTCGCAGGCATTGGCAATCAAAAGAAATTAGTGAGGTAAGGGCGGAGCAATCAGCTTCGCCACGCCCAAACGTCAGAACGCCGGTTGTATCGCCTATTTCGCGCCCTCAACTAAGACAAATTCTCTAAATGATAATTTCTTGTGCTGAGTATTCGGCTTTACCAAAGCTTACACGGTTGATTGTGTTCTCTACAATGAGCTTTTAGTTTAATTATGAATAGATTATGACTAGAACTTTTCTTGCATGTGAGATCTACGCATAGAAAATCACACCTTCTTTGCAGATGTCTTCATGGCACCTCATGAACGGCACCAACTCGATCGGCACTGCACAGTCATCTTTGAGTTAATACATTTTTGGTAGGGATAGGATTGGTCAGTAGGAATAGAAATAGGAAGTTACATCAGCCCTTAATTAGAAATTTTCTTCCGTAAATCTAAAAGATCGCACTGTGACACGCTCACAAAAAATAAGCTATTAATTTTTCTTTACAAAAAAGAACAAGAACTTCGTCTTTTCGTTGTTAATGATGGGCAAGGGCAGGTACTAGAGTCCTGTATAACGAAAGCCTTCATAAGAGAGAAAAAAATTACCAATTCTCTATCTATGGGCGAAATATTACTGTAATGATTAAAAAATGAGCCAAGCAGTCATTATTATATTTGTCTCGATTTTGTTCCAAACACTTCGCGTAGAACGCTTTCCAACCTTTTCTTCAAATTCAATATTCTTCAATCTATGTTACTGAAGAAAAACTGTACTGGTTTCTTGCACCACACCAGGACAGCTGTCCTTTTTTTTTTTAACCTACAAATTTAGCGTACAGTAAACACTGATGCGTAGTGCTGCGTCGGCCTACCGTTTTATCACTGCAGTAAATTTAGATCTACGGGCTATTTCAAAGCTGTAATATGCCTTTGGATTGAAAAAGGAGACAGATAAAATGAGCCTTTTCGGAATAGTTTCTACAATACCTAACCATTTTCGCTCAGTCTGGCGAAAAGTTTCTCAGTATCAAAATATTTAAAGTATTTTTATATTTGAAATCTTAACGGAAATCTAAATGGTTGATAACTTTTTGGTGTGATTGTCAGCCAATATACTCACTATGGTAGCAGGATTTTACACTCTTTGCGAAATCGTCTACACTTCTTCTGCCGTCATTCATTGCTAATAAAAAATATGTCTCCGAATATTAGTTAAAATCTATCAGAATTTTGTTCGTAATAAAGTTCACTGGTTTTCACCATTATCACGCTATCAAAAAATTAAACGACCGAGTAATTAATTATTCAACTGATTGATTAATTAAGTGATAACGGATAAAATATGTTTTGGTTAGTATGAAGTAAACGCTTACATCCTTTTTTGAAATTCTTGGGATCCAGTGATAATATTCTGCTTTTAAGTGGGATCCGAAAGTGAGCTTATCGACAACGAAAACAGTATTTTATCAGCTGTGAATGGTTCTACTGTCGACTTTGTTTCTTTTTTTTTTCGCTATATAAATAGAAAACCATACAAAGTTCAAAAGGAGATGAAACGCACCATCTCAATGCCAACTTATTGATAGACTTGAATTCAAGCAAATCTTTGATATGTTTCTAATGTTCTCGCCTAATTTTTTTGTTTACCAAACCATCTCTGACTGGCCACAACTTCTACTTTATTTCTTATCGATATGAACTGAAAGTCGGAACATTGACGGAATTCTTTCCTTGCCTTATCGTTTCCTGTCGGTCATTTATTCTCTGCGACGTTTTCTTGCGTAAGCTTTTGTAAGCTTTACGCGTAATAAGTTAATGTATTCGCTTTTTTCGTTCGAGTGTTCAACTGAGATCGATAATCGATTTTTTCAACGTGTCGTGTTCACAGGCGTGTTGTCGTGCCATGTAATGTTGCTTTGGCTACCGGTGACGTTACTACTGATGACGTTCGATAAGGTTTATACGATTATGTCAAATAGCAATGCACATAAGCATAAATCGAATTGTTTTAGGTGAGTCTGATTATTGTAGCCGTTCGTGCTCTCCTCTATAAGAAAGCAAAATGTGCTCTTCCTAGACACTCTCCCGTAGAAGTCTATAAAATTACTGCGAATCCCAATCTATATCGCAAGCTCATTAAATGAATTCCATGAGTGTTTTCCTTTGATGAAAGCGTGGTTGGTCGAACTACTCTTTGTGAATCATCTATAGTCAAGCACGATGAAGCAGAAATGTGTTATGAGGAGGAAAAGCTCTGCAAAATTGACCACATCTGAAAAGAAGCGCTTACAACAAAGTGATTTGGTTCAAGAAAAAGCTTAGTACTTTTCAAAAACTTCACCTATCGAACACTGTTGTGATCAATCTAACTCATATCTATATTCCTTGAATCACTTTAGTAGATATTGATTTATTGATTTTTGGCCTTTTTTAGACAGACAATTCTTAGTAAGTTTACACTCTTTTATACAAAGAGGTATTAGTTGGTCAAAGGGACCCTCGTTAAGCAGAAATCCAGCAAATTAAATCAGTATCCGTCTCACTACGGTTCAAACCTTGGTATATTAGTGGAATATAGTTAGATCGTCAACACCAGAATTATTTGCAATAGTGCATATCCGAATATTGACTTCATTGTCAAGAGGCAATGAAGGTCATCTAAGGTGCACAGTCGAGGCGCCTTCACATTTCACAATTGACAGAGTGCAAACCAATTTCAGTTTGTACTAGCTGTTTTTTTCCTTCCTCTTCCAATTTTTGGTTTCCAGTGGAGTGAGGAAGAAAATCAAATCCACTAGACTAATTTTATTTGATAACTTTCTAGTGTAACAAAGTCAAATAAATGACTTTTCTGTGCAGTATACAGCGCTGAGCCATGTATCTGTGCACGAGTTTTTCATCACGAATTTAATTATAAGGTTTTCAGCTGCGCCTCATTTGCCTATTTGCCGTTATGGAATCAGCTTATGCACCATTATTTCCCTCCGAAAAATTTCACAGATCGTTGCTGGCAACCGGATGCAGGTAGTTGATGTATTGAAAGATTTAATAATTGAGAAATTTGAATAGATGCAAACGGATGAGGAAGTCTGAATGCAACGATATTAATTGCTGCAAAAGTCGAAACTATTTGGATGAAATGTGATCTCCATTCGAAAGCAATCCTTAAGTGATCAGTTCAGGTATCGGAACGGTTCCGTGTACGTCGGCGTGTTTTACGCTCGTCGAACGAATTGATCAACAAGATTGTGGGTATTTTCGAATGTTATTTATTCCACTACCATATAATATTTACTCCCTCTTTTGGTGACAATGGGTTATTAATGATCATAGGATGGAGCAACCACCGCTGATCAGGTAATACCAGTGTGACTTGGGCAGGCACAAGTAGAATAATATCTCGTCTCCAACTGCTAGCCAGCGCTGCCCAAACGGCTCTACACAATTACTGACCGAATAGAAGAACCTACCATTTGTGAAGATCGCTTATTTTCTATGGTTTTTTTCTAGAGAGCATCCTTGAGTGGCATGGCATTCAGCTTTGATGTGGCTGTGAGTGGCATAAGGTTGAGACTAGATTGTCAAGCTCTACGGTGGTGCCGTAGACGTGGAGCTTAATTGTTAGAGGCACCGCCACCGAGTCGAACAATCAACCTCACGCGTAGTTCCCCACTTGTCCCAGCTTGACCAATAGCTTTTGACCGCCTGAATCGATATCCAGGATACAATTCGTATAGACGTAAACATACTCTCATATGCATGCATGAATATATTCGACGTACCTACGAGAGGTGTAGGTGAATTCAATATAACTGACACGAACAATCTCAACTGCGTAATCTGCTTTGACCTTCAAAAAATACTTATCCTATAAGAGGTTATTATTTAACCCTCAAACCGTATATTATCGTTTGGAAGCACGCAATGTGGCTCTCCAAAGGGTTACCCTATCTCAAATTTTTCAAATAAGGGAGATATGTAAAGATATTGTTTGGGATGTTAAGAGGAACCTGTCATGATTTATGAGATAAGCAAGCCATTTCGAAAAAATTTTAATTTACTTTGCTTTCATTGATTATACATCCGACTAAACTGTCTCAAAAAGCCTTCAATAAGTCAGTCAGTGTTTTCTTTACTGTTCCAAATCAATTTGATCTATCATTAACCTCAACTTAAGAGGAGTCTTGCATTCTGAGTATAGCTATCGATTGAAACTCCAATCTACTTCTGCATCATGATCATTAATACTAAAGTACAATCATAATGATCATTATACAAGCAGTCATTAATCAGACAATCATTAATCACAAACAGCATTAACATTAATCACAATCATTATTATAATCATTAATCCTAAAGTTTTCCGCTCTAGAAGTCGCTAAATGACTTTTCCGTTATCTCCACCCGTTTCAGCCTCTTGGGAAGAACACGCTTTTTGCTTTTTGTTAGCGCTAAGCAGACATGTGGTAGCATAAATCTGAAGGATTTCAATTATGTGCTTTGTTTTTTGAGAAAAAAAAAACTTCTTAATGTGCTGTAGCAGTGAAAAGAGATTTATGTTCCACACGCGGGGTTTTTTTTGCTGTACAAAGCTTCTTTCCTGGACTTCAGTAATCATTCGACTGATTGAATTCCGAAGATTTCAATGATAGACATGGTTGAGAAAAAAATAAGCGCGATGTAGCAGCCTAAAGAAAATTGGGCATCAAACACCACGCGCACGAGGTGGAAATAATAGCAGTGATCAGTGCTTTTTATTCCATTTTTTTAAAGAGTGACTACTGCCATCTGCTGACAGTGTGAGTGACTCACAT